CCAAACAAATGGATGGTCAAATATATTCGAGCAGTACTAGGTCTTGATCAATTAACACAATGTGGGGGCAAGACACACTGATCTTGTTACTCTTACATTTAAATTATATGTTGTCTTAGCTGAATCACGTTCTTTGACGTTATACAGGTAAACTATTTTTCATATATTGATGGTCATAAATGGTTTAGCACCAATACATTAAAAACATCAATGCAGCATTTTCAAATGGCATTTGGTTGAAGCATTCTGCCATTCATTGTTAGATATTCGATGCTCGGTTGAGGTAAATTCAATTTACTGTGACAGGTGCAGCAAGGAGTGATATGTATAAACAAATTATGGAGCCTGCAATTCCATAGGAATTAATATTTCATCAGGTTGGAGAGATCCTGATGTGCAAGTGTGTATATTGTGCGTGTGTAGGACAGCAAAGAAAACAAGAAATTTGGGTCGAAGATTTCCTCAGAATAATCAAAACACTACAGGTTCACAGGAAAATACTTTATTTGAGGGGGTCGTATATTCTCTCGGGATTGGTAAGATAACATGCTTGCAGCAAAAGTATTTATTTATTTACAGCAATTTCATTGTTCACTGAATACATCTGCCTTTGCAGATGACACCTGATAGTCGATTTGGTAGAGTTCAGTTTGTAGATTTCACTGAAGTGATTGCCCTTTGGTAATCTATACTGCTGTACACCACCGTTTCACGTGACTACCCTTTGGCAATCTATACTGCTAAGCACTTCTGGACTGTTTGAAGGAATTGCCCTTTGGCAATGGCTGATGATGCGACTGCTTCTTTGTTGCTGTACTGTATGCTCCACAATCTGTATCTTTATTAATTGTCAGCAGCAATTGAACCTAAATGTTACATTAAATCACAGCAACCTGAAACTATGTCCATTTTAAAATGATAAAACACACATTGATATGTCATGAATATACTTCATCAACTCGGCTGTCGGCTGCAAACTGCAACTAACTGCATCGGCTTGAACTGTACCAGCTTCTAAAATTAAGTCAGTTTTATACAATATTCACTTGCAAAATGTCATCACATTGATTCAGTATTAAAATTTGCATCAAGTCTGAACTGCATGGACTCTAAGCGGCATGAACTCTAAGTTGTGTTGCCAAGATGCATTGACTAAACTACACATACGTTTCTCAAGATATTTCAATTCATTTTCAATCAGTTTTGTCTCAATATCAAATCATTTCCAAACATAGTTGCTTGAAGTTTCAACTGCAGGCTACACAGGCCTATACCATTCGAGGTCACCAAGGTTACTGCTTGAGACGCCGAAGGTCACTGCTTGAGATATCGAATGTCACTGCTTGACATATCGAAGGTCACTGCTTGAGATATCGAAGGTCACTGCTTGAGATAGCTTGAAGTTGTTGAGGTCACTGCTTGAAGTGCTCAAGGTCACTGATTGAAGCTATTGAGGTCACTGCTCGAAGTGCTCAAGGTCACTACTTGAAGGTCAATGCTTGAAGTACCCAATGTGAACATCAACAATACAACCTACAACTGGTTACATATACAATAACCTAAAACTGTTGAGAATATTACAATGGCTACAAATATCCTTACTGGGCTTGTAAATCTAAAACTGTGGCGAGTTATACAAGGAGTCGTATCAATTTTCAATAGCTACTGGCGACGATAAACGACCACATAAAATACTGGTAAAATATCTGACATACAACAATGCGACAGTTCAGCAAACGTATAGAATGTTCATTTCAACACATTTAAAGTTACATTGCATTACCATACTCCGGATCAGCTAGGGCACATGTACTGCACTGCCTCACTACAGCGACGTTACACTGCACTGCACTACACTGCACTGCTGCTGAACTGCATTAGCTCGACTAAAGTGCTCCCCGAAGTACGCTGAAGCATGAATCGACGTTGCTGCACTGCACTGTACTGTGAATCAGCGTAGAATGCACTGCTACTTGCTGAATTCCTAGATGATAGCTGAAACCACTGGACCGCGTTGACTCGATATAACATGCAGAATGGAGTAAACTGGACTGCTTGGACGCCGTGTTGCCGTGCTGCTTTACTGCATAATTGCGTCTGTTGTACAAAGACCTACAAATTCCTGGCCTACAATTAAGCTACATGCATCCAGGCTACAGTACGATTTACACTAGTTTGAGCTATACTAGAATTTACACTACATTTAAACTAACTTTTAGATTTACAAAAAGTTTACAGTGTTTAACAAACTTTACATATTTGAACTACAATGTACCTGGTTACTGGTTACCGTAATATATGATACTACCGTTGGATGACGTCACGATCAAGCACAAAGGAAATGGCGATCTTGACTCTCACCATAACTTGCTCAATCTTGAATTCCAAACATGGGCAACCAGGTCACTTGTGGGAAACTGTGGATGGATATCCGTGGCTTCACTATGCGTACGAAAATGCGTATGGCTGAGCAGTTTACCTCGTGTTAATGTGTTCCAGGCCGGAAATGCAGATCTCTGGTTTCTGCTTGCAGACACCTTTCCCCCTCTCTCAAAGGCCGGAGACGCAGACGTAGTTGTTGCTGTCTGTAAGCTGCCACCAAATGTAACCGGACGTGACGGGGGAGGGAAAGGGACTTTCAAACAGGGCCTAATAGATCAAATACAACATGCAACACGACAAGTGATGTAAAATATAACAATATGTACAAGGCTTATTTATTTAAAATCAACATAGAGAACAATATGATCAAAATAGTAATATTGCACTGAGAGAAAGAAATATGGTATTTATGATGCTTTTAATTTAATCTATTACTCTAGATATGTAAATGCCTTTATAAAATGTCTTTCAAAATAATACTACAGAAATGTCTATTAAAAATGTCTATAAAATATAATAAAAGCTATGCGAGACGATAAGAGGCAACCGGTTGTGGGACTGGCCCTTGAAGTCGTCGTGGACTTGATCACGATGATAGGGGACTTGCATAGAGTGTAGGTTCTCGACTTTCGGAGACTGGCTGCTCTTGGTGGGCTTGGCTCACTGTGCGGTCTCAACTCCCGTGGTGACGCTATTCCTTCAGCGAATTCCAGCCGTTACGGCACCCCAATGGACTGCTGTAGATTCACAGCTTACGAATCCTTATCTTGGGTTGCTCATTGCTGCATATTGCTGTTGATGAAGTCTGTAAGCCGAAGTAACGCCCAGTCCAGAAACAGGAATGTTGTTCACCTAGAAAATGTGCATAGCCCTACCTTGTCGTGCCTCCCGATATCGTCTGACGCCCTACAACGCTGGCGATCTAACATTCGATTCAATCGTGAGTTGATACAAAATCAACCAATCAGATTATAGATAATTATTTCCAACTCGCGTTCGAATTGCGTTTTCCGTCGTGGTTTGCTTCTTCGAAGTTACAAAACCGGTTTATTTTCAATTGGTCTACCACACAGGATTCATATGTAAAGTGTTGCTCCATTTTTGTGTTTCAGTGAAATAGACTTTAAAATATCATACTACCGCAACTGGGAAAGCTTTATGTATTAATAATTTCGTTAAGCAGACCGTTACACATATAATTACTTTCTAAGCCATAAGAATGATGGAAGTAGTAATCGGTGGCCGAGGATTCGATGTAACAATTTACAGAATTAATGATATACATAGATATGCTTTACCAAGATTAGTCAGTGATATAGTTTTACCGATATGAGCCTGTAATATAGTTTTACCATGATGTAAAAAATAATGTTTACTTTTTTCTCCGCTGTGACGGAGCAGTTGCAAGTGTGAACTTTAAAACTGCTTCGTCACAGCAGATAAAAAAAGTAGAAATTATTTTTTATAAAAAAAATTAAAAAGACCCAATACATCCAGATCTCATAATACATTCAGAGTTATACTGAAAACATAAATAAATAAATATTATCGTGTCACGATATGCCATTAAAAAAATTTAAAAAGAAATGGTACATTTTAGAGCATGATACTCTGATTGGATCTGATGCCTACCGAAACGGATATGACAAGGTGGGCCAATAGAAGTGAGTATTATAATAATTATTTCATATTATATCGTATTCGGGGATTCCCCATTATAAGATCTCCAATCAAATTGCAGGATGTGATCACGTGAACAATCATGAGCACGTGCTTGAAATCGCTGAAATGGCATTTATTTCAGTTCAACTCACTGTTAATAAACAGTATGACAGGTGATCTTTGGGAACCCCCCACCCCCGAAGGTGGGCCTAAAAATCCTCATTTTGTACTTACAACGGTGAAAAATTGAGGAAGATAGTAAACTTATCTCAAAACCTGCAAAAAGTGAGTTACTTTGAATAACAACTTTGTGGAAATTATGGGACGAACTGTTAACTTTTTCAAACAGATTGTGTCTTTTAATCCACCATAAATGGACTTGGATTCTCTCCTTCATGACCTTAAAGAATTATTATCCTTAAATACTTTTAAATCCGTTTAAGGAAAAAAAATACCGACTACTTATCTTCTGAGATCTACTTGCCAAGGAGCTCAACTCTTAATATGATCTGATCTTAAAATCCCAACTTTATACCCACAACTTTACCAATGTACCATCCGCTACATGCAAATTCCGTATAGCTACTAAACCTCAATTCATATCATTTTTTCCCATAACCTTAGACACAATATCTTCAAGACTTAGAGGATGGATTCACTTTTCTCAACTTCAATTACCCCAAATTCAATAAAAAACAGCAAGACAAATTATCTTTGTTTTTGTATAAGGATTAATATTAAAATCTTAGAGCTCAACTCAGCATTTATTGAAAGGAGTGCAAGTGTGTGCAAGGTTTTCCTCCCACCACAATTTGTTCATAATTTTATTCTTATGTCCATTGTAAACAAATTCATTGTCGCAACAAACCTACTTTAGGACCCAACCTGACAACGTCAACTCCTTAATTAAACTGAATAATACTTTACTCTTTTCGGTCATGTACAGAATTTCACAGAGCACACTCTGAAATTCATCAACGCTCTTTCTAAAGTTTCAACAGTCATATTACAGTGGTAAGAATGCTACACAAAACAATAATTATGAAGAGAAAATTGATATAACAGTATATTTCAATGCAATCATTCCATAATCATATCCATTTAAATATATGTATATCGAATGAGAAAGGGTCAAATACAGTGGCATTGGGACTGTAAATAGTTCATAGTGAATGAAGTAAGATTTCTTCAATGCTGATAGAATAATTTCCTAGTTAAAGTAAATATTTCTTGTTTTATAGTTTGATACCTTTATAAGGGTATCGTACCTCGTTGGGTAGCTCCATTGAGACCGTAGCGTATTTATGGAGCAAGTCTGTAGTTATAGGCGTACTTGGTTTGTACTTTTTATCCAAGTAAATCACTGTGTTTATTATTGGAGCTATACCATTTAATCTCAATATTATTGCCCTGTGGTCGTTTATGTGCACGCCCATCGCTAGGCTATTTTTGTTTTCGATTATAAAGCTCAGAGGATAGAAAAATGGAACTTTGATGTACTTGTTTCTGACTATAGATGCACTTCGTAAAATGCTTCCGTGAATTTTAATTGGGGCGCTTACGTACAGCACTCGGAATGTATCCACGTTAAGTATGACAAGATGAACACCGTAGAATGACTCTCCTTTCCTCGTTAGGACTCTTGTGTGAGCAATAGCGATGTAATACGGGTATTCGTAAACTTGAAACGGAGTTCCGCCTCGGAGGCAGTTATGCTTCCAATCAAATGGTGCATTTGAGATTCCGGAAGCGTCACCTATAAAGTGACACTCGGCTTTATCTGTACATTGAAGTATTCTCACAGGATCATATGAATAGAGGAAATATAGTTTGTCATCTTTAACAAATGGCGACCAATTTGAATCAATCTTATTCATTTCGAAGCCTGGTATCTGTGGTTTCAAAGCATAGTTTTTATTGAGGTTCCACATGAACATATTGCCCCATTCTTTTCCATCAACATTCATAGGCATATAATAAAAGGCGTATAAGTCCCCCTTAAATTCAAAAATTCTAGGGTCTCCAGTACCAGCATTCCTCATGTACTGTTTAGGTACGGGAATTCCTAATAGGGACCCGTATGATGTAGGGTTCATTTCGTTGTTAAATCTTTGCATATACAAATAGTTGTCTTGCCAAACATTATACTGCTTTTCTTTAGTATCTTTTAGGCGTTCGTAGTTGAGCCAAACTCTTAATAAGGTCCAAATTTCCCCCTTGTAGAAAGCTATGGCGGGGCTTATAACGAAATATTGGTTAGGAGTGTTTGGTCCTCTAACGTTAGGAAACATAGCACGGACAGAATCAGTGACGTCAGGGTAAAATGTGTAGAGGAGTGATGTCTTAATCTGGGACGAAACGATTTTCTGGCCATTTCCACCCAGAAAGAAGCTCCCTCTTAAAGTTGTGATAAGTTTATGTGTAGCTGGAGTATTCAAAGTGGGTTCATCAATACCATCGACAAAGGATTTCTTAGCCAAGCCGAAAATGTCCTCGCTGTTTTTCTTGGTGTGATGCTCCGGGGCGCTTGCTGGAGGACGATCCTTAACTATTAGAACTACGAACATGAGGACACAGAGGATTGGCATGACAGCTCGTTTGAATCTCCTCCCGGGAATAACATGATGTGGAGACAATTGTATCCTTTGTAAGTTAGGTAAGTTGGGATGCTGAAATCATATAGAAATTGTAAATTTGTTGTTTGTTTAATAGTTTAGCATGAAGTTCCGTGCCACCACTGGATGTGAGTGCTTGAAACAAGACTTTAGTATTTTAAGCATTGCTTGACGTAATTACTTCTTTGGAAATGCTTTATCAAACCGTCCTTTTGCGCCTTTAGACTACTAGTCTATACATAGCTGACATTGGAGCACCGGACTCGATCACAAGTGGATTGTTGCTTCCTGAACGAAGACCGAAGGCTAGCATGGAATCCACGGCCGGGCATCATAATAAACCATGACATCTAATTTCTTCTCAGTCCTGAGATGTTTCAGGTGAAACAGAAAGATGCTATGAGTATCAGAATGACGACCGGGTGATATACAGGGTGTCTCAAAATTGTACCCAAAAGTATATCAACAGCACAGATAAGCCAATCAATATTTTCAGATATTTTTTGCATGGTCCTGTAGCCAAAACATTAAATGTTTCTCCCAATACACCATTTTTATTTCAGTCTTGCCTTTTTGATGCTTTATATCCCTTTACCTTTTACACCACATAATCAATGTAACCTCATATTTCGATGACAGCCTGTATCCTTACTGCTACATTGTTCATCACATTTGATAATAATTCCGGTGGAATGTTTTGGATTTCTCTTGTTGCCCTTTAGTTGTTAGTTGTTAGTTAGTTGTTTAGGTCTTTCAGCACCAAAATACTTTTGGGTACATTTTTGAGACACCTTATATATAATAGCACACACAAAGCACCGAGTTCTGTGCTTACAACCTTATTACACATGGTAAACTCGTTTTATAAAAGACACATTAGAGAATACTTTTGATTATGTTATGGACTTATATGCCCGCAAAATAGCCAACCTGAAATTATGAAGTTGATGAGGGTAATCAATTTCACTGAAACTAAAGATAACCATTCATCTGTTGAAAAATACAGTCAAACTGTCAATATCATTTGTTGTGGTCAGAGTGTGTTATGACAAGGTGATGGTCTCAGGGTATAGAAAATCAAGATTTCAATGTTCAAAGTAAGTAAAATTATAACTACCATTTTGAGTTTAGTCGTCTTCCTCCTGTAAATGCTCAGCTAATGTACTGCACTTAACTGAGAAGATCACATCTGCAATCAAATAAAGCATACGTAATTACCCAGGTACATTACTAGATATGATACAAATATTTCATTCTATCGATGTGAATATCTGTGCATCTTTCATAAGTGATATTCCATGAAGCTTGTGAAAGGTTTCCGGACAACTCGGACCCAGGACAAGTCGGACCCTGGACAAGTCGGACCCTGGACAAGTCGGACCCAAGACATCTCGGACCCAAGACATCTCGGACCCAAGACAACTCGGACCCAAGACAACTCGGACCACTTTTTAAAATAATGATTTTTATTAGGGTTTAGGGTTCTTTAGTATTTGTTTTATGCTTATTAAATATATTATACATTGTGAATACATATTTTGTACTAATTTGATTTAAATGTTTTAATTTGACTTATTTGTAGCGCTATTGATAAAGATTAAGTAGAAGCTTTTGAAGCTATAAACCCAAGACAACTCGGACCACTTTCTAAAATGTTAGTTTTTGTTAGTATATAATATGGGATTATTTGTAAATGTTTAGCATGACACGGTTTAGATATATTATGAATTTATATTTTGTGTTTACATGTCAAGATGAACAAGATGTTTCAATTAACTTATTTGATGAGAGTTGAGAATACAACTTGTTATATAGAGGTGTCAATGAGTCTTTTCATACAGTTAATACCAACTCATATGGAAAATCACTAAGGAATTAAAACAATAATATTTTAATCCTAATCTCATTATCTCATTTGCACTCACCACTGTTAAGTCATATTATTAATCTCACTGAAAGACCTATGTCACATAGAGATCAATGGAAAGTTTAAATTCTGTAAATCCTCAATTATTTGATCATTTAATCTTAATCTCACTGAAAGATTAATGCCATATTGAGATCAATGAAAGAGTTTATATTATGTTAATCCTAAAGTTTTTTTGATAATTTAATCTTAATCTCACTGAAAGATTGAGGAATGTGTTTGTATTCTGTAAATCCTCATTTTTATCATTTAATTAAGAAATATTGACTGAACATCAGTTGTTATATGGACGAATAAACCCCGCATGGCTAGGCATGAACGTGTTCTGTACCCAAAATGGCCGAAGGGAGTGAGGGGTCCAAAAGCGTTTGTGTCTAGCCCTAAAGGGTTTATACGTCGATATAACACCTGATCTGATATTACGATCCGAAAATGAAAACTCACCAAAATATTAAGTTGATTTAAAACAATTACATCAAATTAACACAATATTTGAATTCACAATATGTATATACGTCATACTAATCATAAAAAAATAAATAAAAAACATATAATGATGAAAATCATAATTTCAAAAAGTGGTCCAAGTTGTCTTGGGTCTTTAGCTTCAATAATTTTAGACATTAATTAAGTTGATTTAAAACAATTACATCAAATTAACACAGTATTTGAATTCACAATATGTATCTATGTCATACTAAACATAAAATAAAGAATAAAAACCATATCATGATAAAAATCATAATCTCGAAAAGTGGTCCGAGTTGTCTTGCGTCTTTAGTTTCAATATTTTCTTCTTAATTCTCATCAATTAAGTTGATTTTTATGTCCCCACCACATAGTGTGGGGCCATATTGTCGGCCTAGGCGCATCTGTCTGTCCGTCCGTCCGTACGTCCGGCAGTTTTCTCCAAAACCGCTACAGATATCACCTTCAAATTTTCAGGGTTCACTTATGAGTGCATCTAGATGTGGATGAAAAAAATTTAACTCGATACCTACTTCCTGTCGGCCATTTTGAAGTCAAATGCTAAAATCCTTGTCTGCAAACTTTAAGAAAAATGGCTTCACAGTTGCTTTTGAAACTTTAACATCTTGTTCAGCTCACTTCATTCTAAATCTGATTAGGTTTTGGACCTGTTAGCTCAGTCATGTCAGCCATTTTGAATGTTTTAAGAAAAGTTAGCGCGCGATAATACTTTGTATCATATTGAATGGTGTTTTTCAGTTTTCATACTTTAACTATTTTGTAGCTTTATAAATAATTGCAGGTGTACTTTGTTGTAAAAGCCTATGTTATTGTTAACAGTAGTTATATGTGATAATTTTGTAAAAAGAAATCGGCAAAAACTTATAATCACTTTTTTATTGTCGGCCATTTTGGATTTTCCGTCCTAAAATCTTGTCTGTAAAGTCTTGTCTTCGCATTTTCAGGTGAACCGTTTGGTAGATCAATTTCAAATTTTCAGGGATGATTCTTAGTATGACAATCTAGATCTGATTAGTTTTTGGGCATTCTGGGTAAATGTCAAGGCAGCCATTTTGGATTTTCCGTCCTAAAATCTTGTCTGTAAAGTCTTGTCTACGCATTTCCAGGTGAACTGTTTGGTAGATCAATTTCAAATTTTCAGGGATGATTCTTAGTATGAAAATCTAGATCTGATTAGTTTTTTGGCATTCTGGGTAAATGTCAAAGCAGCCATTTTGGATTTTCTGTCCTAAAATCTTGCCCGTAAAGTCTTGTCTACGCATTTTTAGGTGAACCGTTTGGTAGATCAATTTCAAATTTTTAGGGATGATTCTTAGTATAAAAATCTAGATCTGATTAGTTTTTGGGCATTCTGGGTAAATGTCAAGGCAGCCATTTTGGATTTTCTGTCCTAAAATCTTGTCTGTTATGTTTTGTCTACGCATTTCCAGGTGAACCGTTTGGTAGATCAATTTCAAATTTTCAGGGATGATTCTTAGTATGAAAATCTAGAAGAGAATAGCTTTTTGGCATTCTGGATAAATGTCAAGGCACCCATTTTGGATTTTCCGTCCTAAAATCTTGTTTGTAAAGCCTTGTTTACATGTTTTCTGGTTAACTGTGTGAGGGATCAATTTCAAATTTTCAGGGGTGGTTCTTAGTATGAAAATCTCGAACTGACTAATATTTTGGCATTCTGGGTAAATTTTAAGGTGGCCATTTTTGATATTCCGTCCTCAAATTGTGTCGGTAAAGTCTTGTCTACTCATTTTTAGGATAACCATTTGACGGGATCACCTATAGGTGGGGACATTTTGTACACATTTGTGTTCTTGTAAACAATTACATCAAATTAACACAATATTTGAATTCAAAATATATATAATGTGTCATACTAAACATAAAATGAAAAAAACAAACAAAAAAACATATCATGATAAAAATCATAATCTCAAAAAGTGGTCCAAGTTGTCTTGGGTCTTTAGCTTCAATATTTTCTTTTTAACTATCATCAAATAATAAGTTGATTTAAAACAGTTTCATCAAATTAACACAATAAATGAATGCACAGTACATAATATATGTCATCTAAACATAAAACAAAAATTAAAACCCCATATTATGATGTTAATATCATCATTTCAAAAAGTGGTCCGAGTTGTCTTGGGTCCGAGTTGTCTTGGGTCCGAGATGTCTTGGGTCCGAGTTGTCCAGGGTCCGAGTTGTCCTGGGTCCGACTTGTCCTGGGTCCGAGTTGTCCAGTTACCTTGTGAAAGATGCACAGGTGTTTACCTCAATTTAGTGGAATCTAAAAGGTATTCACCGAAAATAGAATTGAATATTTGTTTTACTATATTACTGTTTAACTCACAATAGACGACGACGACGACGACGGCTCTGCGAATGGTTGTCGACTCTTTGGATTGCATATCGACTTCGAGACTGGATTTCGTCGATACACATCCACTGGGGATCTACTGGAAACGAAGACAAGCGCTTTAGTGGAAGGCGCTTTACGAAATCGCCATCCTGATTACACCAACAATTCTAAAGCGCCTTAGGAATTTTATTTTGGAATTACACCTGTCATTTCTAAAACGCCTTTCGTGCACTTTTAACGATGTATATAGAGATTATCCAGCAGATGTGCACATCTACAATAAATGTATTTTTTAGCATCTAAGAGAAAACGTAACCGAGACTTTTGCCAGTGAAGTGAGCTTTCACTTTTTGCGATATGCATTTTTTGGCTCCCATCCATTATTTTCTGTATTTTTGCGGTGGTCCAAATGTGTAACATTCGAAATACGTCTTATTTCGTTTAGGGCAAATGGTTAAAACCCGGGTAAGGCGTTTTACAAAAACCGATCGGTATTACACTACACTCCAAAAAGCGCCTAATGATTTGAGGTGTTTGGAAAAGCGCTTTTTTAAAACCGCAATCATGATTACACCTATTTTTCAAACTGGGTTAAGGTGCTATGGAAGTTAACAGGAAATGACAAAACAAAAAATGTCAAAACCATGCTGGATTTTGAAAATGTTTTAAACCAAGATAACAGAGTTCTGTTTGGACCTCCAGTCAATTTGACTAGTTCCACATATCATTTACATGACTGGGAACACAATGGAAATGGTCAGAATGACCACAAACATGATGAAATAACCTTTTCAGCCCTCTGAAAATGTGACTGAAAAATAGCGAAGAGTAGGTGCTCAGGAAAGGTCACTGTATAGAATCTTTTGACTTTTTTAGAAAATGTGCCATGATTATTATTATCTGTTATTTTCAAAATCCAGCATGGTTTTGACATTTTTTGTTTTGTCATTTCCTGTTAACTTCCATAGCACCTTAAAAACCTTAGGCGCCTTTCTAAAACGCATGGTGTAATTCCAGCAAATGTCTTCGTTTCAGCATGGCCGTACTTCTGGTTGATAATAAATTTTGTTTTCTCGATTTTATCACTTTATTCTTCAAAATTTCAAATAAATATTTGGTAAGTACATGTATGTATAGGGTGGTCAAAAAACGGAAACTGCATTTTCCTCATATCTTTGTAATTTTAAGAAATCATTCCCTGATATTTGACACGTTGGTACATCATTCAATTTCCTACCGGCCTATCATATTTCATGATCATCAGACATCAGTCACAGCACTTTGAACAACATGCATCAACGTGGTGTAGGCAAACAACATGCATCAGGTGTGTCCATCAACGCTGTACAGGCAATCTTGCACAAGTTGTCAATGACTGACTGCATTCCTCAGCAGGTGTGGTCTGAATAACACAGATTGTCCCCCTTTTGAGATCTGCAACTGCCGAGATGGCGTATCCCACAGGTAGAAGTCAGGTGGGGACATTTTGGACAACATGTGCAGGTTTGCCTAAAGCTCAATATTGGCCAACGGAGCATGTTCTTTAAAGTGCTGTAATATTGTGACCCCGTTATTGTCACTATCTGTCTGATGGTCATGAAATCTAGTTTCAGAGGCCTATTAAGTCATGTTTAGGGTCATTTTGACCATGTACATTGTGATCCTGGTCATGTAAATGACATGTGGAACTAAGTAAACTGACTGGAGGTCAAAACAGAACTCTGTTATCTTGGTTCAAAAAATGTTTGAAATCCAGCACGTTTTTGTCACTTCTTGTTTTGTCATTTCCTGTTAAGGTACAGCTGGAAAATAACATTTTGGTAAAAATTGCTATACCTGCACTTGCTATTTTCTGGTACACTATAAAGTATGAAGGCATGTGTAAATGTCCTTGCTTTTTTCAGGAAAGTATCATTACATTGTCTTCTTTTAGTATATCTGGTAAGAGGTCAATGGGTACTCCAGGAAATTCTGATATTTCACACTTTCTATTTTTCCAAAGTTTCTTTCAAAGTTTCCAGACAACACAGGAGCTACCTTTGACCTGTTTACAGGTTTACTAAAAGTAGACAATGTAATGATACTTTCCTGAAAAAAGCAAGGAAATAAACACATGCCTTCATACTTAATTTTGTACCAGAAAATAACATAACATAATAATAAGTCATGTTTAGGGTCATTTTGACCATGTACATTGTGATCCTGGTCATGTAAATGACATGTGGAACTAAGTAAACTGACTGGAGGAGGTCAAAACAGAACTCTGTTATCTTGGTTCAAAAAATGTTTGAAATCCAGCACGTTTTTGTCACTTCTTGTTTTGTCATTTCCTGTTAAGGTAACTTATAACTTAATCAAAAAATCCAAGATGGCCGAAACCAGGAAGCACATGGCATTTGAGTATAATCTGACCATCAAAATTTACTGTCTTTTGGTTGGATTTTCTCTCAATTTTTTAGTTCCATTTATCATTTATATAACCAGGCTCACTGTGGTAATGCAAATAGAAACAGTAAACATTTTGGATTGGGAATTTGAGTCCTCTGAAAATGTGACAGAAAAATTGACAAAAAGAGTAGCACGGCAAAGGTCCCTGAACATTTTTTTTTCTAATTTCTCTGAAACATCCCTTTAATATAGCCCAAAATGGAAGGAGCTTTAGAATTTTGAAATCTCTCATACAAATTAAAAAAAATAGAAAAAAACAATTTGAGAAGTGTACTTTTTTCCTTATTTTGATTCTAATTTTTTTATTGGGTAATTTTTCAAATTTTCGTTGCTCCTTCGTTTTTGATATATGTTTGAAGTATATTTTCTGAAATGTTCAGATATTTTGAATCAGCGGTTTTTCACGGGCTACTCCTAGAAAAAAATCTTCTCAAATTTTTAAACGGCACTTTTTTCTCAAACTAAAGTTTTTTGTTGTTCTTTGATGTCTTTGTACTGATTACAGTGCACAAGCATATGTGAAATAATAAAAACGACTTCTCAGGAAGAGTTTGAAAATTTCAAGTTTGTGAAATTTTCAATTTTTTCTGAAAATCGATTAAGTTAACAGTCACCTTAAGGTACAGCTGGAAAATAACATTTTGGTAAAAAATTGCTATACCAGCACATATTATTTTCTGGTACAAAATAAAGTATGAAGACATTTGTTAATTGCCTTGCTTTTTTCAGGAAAGTATCATTACATTGTCTTCTTTAAAAATATCTAGTAGGAGTTCAATGGGAACTCCAGGAAATTCTGATATTTCACACTTTCTATTTTTCCAAATTTTCTTTCAAAGTTTCCAGACAACACAGGAGCTACCATTGACCTGTTTCCAGGTTTACTAAAAGTAGACAGTGTAATGATACTATCCTGAAAAAAGCAAGGAAATAAACACATGCCTTCATACTTAATTTTGTACCAGAAAATAACATGTACAGGTATAGCAATTTTTACCAAAATGTTACTTTCCAGCTGAACCTTAAGTACCACGGCACCTTAAGGTCTCATGGAAGTTAACAGGAAATGACAAAACAAAAAATGACAAAGCCATGCTGGATTTTGAAAATTTTTTGAACCAAGATAACAGAGTTCTGTTTGGACCTCCAGTCAGTTTAACTAGTTCCACATATCATTTACATGATCGGGAACACAGTTGAAATGGTCAGAATGACCATACATGATAGAATAACCTTTTTAGCCCTCTGAAAATGTGACTGAAAAATAGCTAAAAGTAGGTGCTCAGGAAAGGTCAATGAACAGAATCTTTTGATTTTTTCAGAAAATGTGTCCAATATATTGCTCTAAATGACACAATCTTTGAAATTTTAAAAAATCGTCTGAAACAATAATGGCTGTAGTAAAAAGGAAAATAGATCGATTTTCAATTCAGTTTTTTTCAATTTTTTCTTTTTCTAAGAATGATATCAAATTTTTTTGAATTGTATCATTTAGAGCAATATATTGGGCACATTTTCTGAAAAAGTCAAAATATTCTGTTCAGTGACCTTTCCTGAGCACCTACTCTAAGCTATTTTTTAGTCACATTTTCAGAGGGCTGAAAAGGTTATTCTATCATGTTTATGGTCATTCTGACCATTTCAACTGTGTTCCCGGTCATGTAAATGATATGTGGAACTAGTTAAACTGACTGGAGGTCCAAACAGAACTCTGTTATCTTGGTTCAAAAAATTTTCAAAATCCAGCATGGCTTTGTCATTTTTTGTTTTGTCATTTCCTGTTAACTTCCATGAGACCTTAAACGACTCCAAATAAATGTTGTCTTCATCCAAAACTTAATTTCTGATCTTACAAATCTAATATTCCATATTTATAATCACATGACTATTATGTACGAATGATTATACAATAAAATTTTAATGTTTGGAACTACTTTGAATTAAAATAATAAGCAATCAAATGACTATATTGCAACAGTTTATGAAAAGGTTTCTATTTTTACATATTCTGTTTCAATATTTTTTAGATTCAAAGTAAGTTCCAAACATTTTTACTTTAGTACTCACCATAAATCACACATACAGCAATACTCCTTTTGAGAATGACAATAGTTTTGTTGCTGCAATTGTTCCTTTGAATAATAATGTCTATTTTCTCACTGAATGAATATATTTAGTAATCTTACATAAAATCGTATGTCCAATCAACCTTTGTACACAATGTTGTTAACGTGCCCATCCACATGCAGTCATGAACAAAACATGTACACCCTCACATGCAAAATTCGGTCTACGCTCATTTTTTCTACATATTTCCCTCTCAAAATGTGTATACCGAGTTTGAATTTGATTACAATTCAAACATAAGATTTAAATGATATCATTATATATTTTTAGTTCATATATTTTACTTCCTTGATTTGAATTTCAAGGACTTTGTGGATTTTATTTAAGGGTTTATACACACATAAAAGCTCGGTCCACTGGAGCCTAACGCGCGATTGCCTCCTGTGGTATACAACGTACAAGTACACGATTGATGCTTGTACTGATTCACAAAAGCTGTTCCGTGTGACTGAATTATATACTTAAATGTATATATAGCATTTACAAAGGTATGAGCCTTGGTCACATTTGCTCCGATTTTCACTACGGCGCCCGGCCGATTGAGTATTTTGTTCAAAATTGTACACAATATTGAACAGAACACAATCCATCGGGCGGGCGCCGGCCGATGGATCGGAGCAAATGTGACCCAGGCATAATGTCTGCTGGGTCACATTTGCCAGGCATAATGCCTGGGTCACATTTATTCCGATTTTCACTACGGCTCCCGGCCGATTGAGTATTTTGTTCAAAATTGTACACAATATTGAACAGAACACGATCCATCGGGCGGGCGCCGGCCGATGGATCGGAGCAAATGTGACCCAGGCATAATGTCTGCTGGGTCACATTTGCCAGGCATAATGCCTGGGTCACATTTATTCCGATTTTCACTACGGCTCCCAGCCGATTGAGTATTTTGTTTAATTAATATCGCGAGCAAGTTCCCACTGAAATCACGATCATAGCACTAAGTACTAAAGGAATTGACAACATTTTAATGACTACCACCTGTTGAAGATCCACTGTTTTAGATATGTTGTTTTGGTAGATTTAATATCACTGGACATATTTTTGCTTGTTAAACATCACACAACATTACCGTTTATCATGTATGTGGGATAACACAGGGGTCATTTTGCAAACGTTTTTTTTATATTAAAAAATTCTTTTGAATAGATAATTAATAAGTAAAAATATCATTAATTCTTTGACATCGAGAACATTTTTTTACAATTTTAACTGAAAAATAAGACCAAAATGGACTCCACCAGTGGGTGGTATAATCCATTGAACAGTGTTTAGTTTTTTTTATAATTTATTGTTTAAGTCTAACGATTTAAATTAGTCTACATTAGTTATAATTACATCACTGACTATTTGTAGATTTGTTGAGCATCATACAACTTAAACCGTTTTTTCATTAATATAACAATACTACGACAATCCTTGGCATTGACCTTGGAAGGACGTTTAAGCTTTACAAAGTTCACATCTTCTGTTTTTATTTTTATTTTTCTCCATTGATCTAACATGGAGAATTCATCATATTTCAAAATATGATGATATCCTTATGTTAAGTCAATTTTATAGAAAATTCGAAATTACATACATTGGATTCATAACTTATTTATGATGATACTTATTAGATCATTTGACCAATACTTAAAGTGTAAGAAACAATAGAATAAAAATCAGAATTGATTTTATTCAATTGTTTTTGGAGGGGTACACAATTGATAATTTCTTGACACTTTTTGTATTTGAGATAATAAAAAATCATAAAGTTCTCATAATATCTCTCTAATTTCTTTACTTTTCAATATTTTCCTATGAAATTTTCTCAGAATGTGCAGCATGAAATGTTTTATTGATCCAGCAAAAAATATTTAGGATAACAGAAACATTGGATAAGAAATGGTTGCCACAGCAACTTGAAATCAAGGCACCCGAGGCAAATAAAAAAAACTAGCTAGTATAGCCCCTATCAACCATGTTTAAATACATAATAATTTGTCAAATATGCTATCAAACACATTAAATTGTCAAATAACATGTGCTCCTGACTGTTGTGAACTATAATGGTCATGTGAATTGTGTGATCTCATAATAGATGATTGCTATGCTTCATTAGAAGTAACTGCTAGACCCCATGACTGTTTTGTCAAATATCCCGAGGAAAATTTTGATTTTGCCCCTTTAGTTCATTTTTAACATGTACAGACCACACACATGGTCTAATTTTGTTGATATCTTAGAAATATATTTGTTTTAGATCATGTTTAGTCTGACCAGAGGATCTTACAAACTTAACATAACATTTTATCAGTGTGAATTTTATTTTTCTGAAGATCTCTGCATCTATTGCATTCTCTGACTCAGTCATTTCTGATCATTAGCTTTGAGTCTCAGACTCTGGTATCACATCTAATGAACCATGAAAGCACCCTCTATGACATCACACAATCCACAAGATCAATTTTTAATAGTAAAAGCACTTAACAACATATTCAAGTTAATATTTTAAGGTGTTTGGTAATTTATGAAAGTTTATTATGTGTGTTAAAATGGTTAATTAGAGCCATTCTCTCAATTACTTTTATTTGCCCCGGTTGCCTTGATTTCCCGTTACTATGGCAACCATTTCTTATTTAATATTTCTGTTAAACTAAATATTTTAGCTGATTTAATAAGACATTCTATGCTGCACATTCTGTGAAAATTTCATTAGAATATATTGAAAAATAAAGAAATTAAAGAGATGTGATGAGAACTTTATGATCAACCCTCATATATTCACATAGCACTCGCACTATGTATGCTCCTATATACCAGGGCGTATAAAAAAATAAAAAAACGCAACAAGTAGTTATCTCGTAAAATTCCAAAACTAGTGATGACTACATGAATTTCATTTGATGTACCACAAAGCCACGTCTCTCCTCTTTGCAATGATATGTCATTCATTCACATGTGGTAATGGTTGGGTGAGAAATCCTTCCATTTGCACAGTGGGTCAAAATCGACTCTGGGCCAAGTTTTAGATATTGCAAAAATCAGTGCAAGGGCTAAGTGCCAATGGAAGTTCCTCTCACTTCAATTTGTTGTGACTTTTTTTTGGAGCTATCTCAGGAGCATCTGTGCTCACAATTCCTCCACCAGATATTGCAAAACCTCGAGAAAGAAGAATTGCCCATGGGCTGCTTTTCTCTGCTTTAACCCACAGATGACTCAGAGCTGAACCATGCATGACGTGGACAGATGAGCACATCTTTATGTGCAAGGAAGTGGTGGTAATTTGGAGGTATAGGATGTATTCTTGCAAGATTAGTATGAGTATGAACACTTAACTGTCTATGCCACACCTGTCACACCTTCTTCCAATAGCCCCTATGCCCCTTGTACTGACTTTTGCAATGTTTAAAACTTGGGTCCGAGCTGAATTTTGCCCCACTTTGCAAAATTAATGATTATTCGGCCAGCCATGACTCTCTGTGGATGAATGATATTCCATTGCAAAGAGGAGTAATTTGGCTTTTTGGTACATTGAATGAAAAGGATGCAGTCAGCATTGGTTTTATGTTTTCTTCCAATTTTGCATCGGGCTCCGTACACTGACTTTTGCGATGTTTATAACTTGGTCAAAAGCTAATTTTGGCCTACTTGGCAAATGGAATGATTACTCGCCCAACCATGACCAAATATCAATGAATGATATATCATTGTAAAGAGGAGACACATGGCTTTATGGTGCATTGAATGAAATCAATGCTGTTATCATTGGTTTTGTGCTTTTCCGAGATAACAATCTGTTGCGTTTTTTTTTGATACGCACTGTACACGCCTGTCTGAGCGTGGCAAACGTGGTCAATACTTTAGTATGTATCAACAAAACATTCGAACTCAGAATTATCCTATGTAGTCCATTTGTCATTTTCTGAACGTAGAAATGTGTAAAAGTACGATGTTTTATCATGCAATCACTATCATAAGGGTTTTATGAAGGAATTTAGCTGGGTTGGACAAAATGAAACTTTGGGGAAAAGTTATATATGCAAATGAAGGTAGCCATTATCTAAAACGAGAGTTTCTTCAATATTTTGAAAACTAAGTTCAGAAACATCACAATATTGGTACCTAAACCCAGGTTTTCAGAGTCAGGGAATAAGATGAAATTACAATAATCAAGATTAGAACAATTATCATATTATTTTGTTGGGTAAAGGCAGCCATTATTGAACAAGTGATCACCTTCAATATTTCGAAGACGAAGTATAGTAGCATCAAAATATTGGTCCTTAAACCCAGGTTTTCAGGGTCAAAGAATACGATAAATTGGGCCTTATCAGAAAAAGATATTGATTATGATTATGCAAATTAGGGCGGCCATTATCGAATTATTGATTATTCTTAATATTTCGAAAACCAAGCACACAAAACTCACAATGCTGGTGTCTAAACCCAGTTTTACTGTCAAATATTAATATAGAATAATAAAGAAAATCTAAAGCAATTATGATTGTGACAAATTAAGCTGGCCTGGCCATAATCAAATTATTGATTACCTTCAAATTGTCTGAGACTAAGCAAAGTAGCATAACAAATCTGGTGTCTAAACCCAGGTCAACGAATAAGATAAAATGATAATAAAAAGGATTAAATCAATAACCATTGTGATTATGCAAATTAGGGAAGCCATTGCATTCAGAGCTTTAATTCTCCCCTGTGCCAAATGGGTAGGACACAGTATCACACTTACTAAGAGCGTGCATTCCCAAAAGCTGCAAGCAGTTGTCACAAAGAAGAAGACAGGACACATCTATATCTGTAACTAACCCGCTCCAGTGTTCTTTTTGAACAGTACAGACATCACACAATAGACTAGATGCGAGTAGAAATGATACACATAATTAGCAGTCAGAAAGATGCTCTAATACCACTGTAGTTTTCAATATTCCCTTTGTTGTAACATCTTATTTCAAAAGAATGGATATTGATGGTTGTATGGAAGTATTCATATCAAATATCAATAAATGCAACATATTTATAATTTAAGATTTCATATTGGAATTCCCGCATAATGATAAAATGTTGACGATATAGTTTTCGATAAAACCCCAGGGTCGTAGCCAGCTTTCAGTTGGGGGGGGGGGGTAATGCAATCACCAAAATATTTTAGGTTTTCAGTCAGAGACATCGTCGTGACATAAATAAGGCAAAAAATATTTGTTTTGAATTTTTACAAAAATGATGCAACTTCCTTCAAACCTGAGCTAGAAG